AATGAAATCAGACTCACAATTGGCAAACAAGGTCTGACTGGTTGCTGGACAACTGGAGCAATGCAGAAGACTATGTCTTCTTTCATGACCTATTCAGTTGCTGAACCTTCTGATTTAGATACACACACATGCACACATGATTCTGTCTCTCATGCATGATTCTGCTCTCAATGAGAGTAGAAGAGGAGGTCCAGAGACCTAGTGCCTAGAGACTTAAGATTAATGTTGGTAATATAGGAAATCTGACAAGGTGTAAAAAGTACCGGACTGTCCTCTGAAGTGGAAGTTCAGCAACACTGCTAAAAACCTTAAGAGGTTCTGAAAAGTTACCTAGCTATCATTTGGTCCACATTGTTCCTTGCATCAGGGCTGGAAGGATCTACAGGATGAATCGTCCCACCCTTCAAACCAGCAAGGTGCCTTAGTTGTCATCAGCTTGTTGTAGAACACACCAGTCCCTTATGTTACTGAAAGACACCAAGACCCACAGCTATCACATTTTGGCCAGACAGGAAGGTTGACCTTCCCACTGAAGTCCCTGCCTCTCAGGAGCTCTGCACAGAGGGCAGAAGACTGCTGGGATCAATGTGGCACCACACTGGAGCTCTCGGCCCAGTCTTGTGAGGTGAAATTAAAAAAAAGGCAGGAGGAAAAAGCACATCATCACACTGTTGCTGCTGCTTGGGAAACACCTCAGAGATTCCACCTCTTGGCGCAGGGACTGAAAGATACAAAACTACAGAGACAGAGAAGCACTTTCAACAGTGACTTTTGGTGCCAAGACTAGTTGATGCTGAGCTCAATAACTTTTGTGGTGCCAGAAGCATAGATTCACAGGCAAACTCTTTACACCACGTTACTGACAGAGGGAACAACTCCGTGCTAGCGTTGAATAAGCCACTGCAGAATGACCCCAGGAGAGCTAAAACTGTGTCGACCCAGTTCTGATGCAGAGGCAGACAGTGTGATCTTACTGCTCTGGGCTTTCGGCTTGTCTGGGAAAAACAGTTCCTGAAGAGGCAGTCCTCAGAGCCAGAAGGGATGCATCCCTGTCTGGCTGAGATTTCACAGAAGCTGCAAGGACCCGAGAGCCTCAGGTCACACAGTGTAACCCAGAGACAGCAGAGGCACATCTTGCTGGGGCCTGTTTGGCCCTTTGAAGGGCATACTCAGAAGGTTTCAAAGCACAAAGGCTGGAAGCTGGGTTTTGGTTCTCATCTGAGTTTCTGTAACAACAGCGAGCTCTTGAAGACTCATAGGTATACACCTGGCTTTACACCCTCTCAGGTTAAAGCATGAGAGCTGGCTGCAGCTGAGGAGCTTTCAGCATTGCAAATCAAGCACAGGAAGCATAGTCAGTGGGGACGTTAGGTGGAGGAAGAGGTTGATGTGCCGTCATGGTTTACTAGCCCCAGCCAGCAGCAAAGAGCCGCGTGGTCTTTGTTCACTCCCTCCACAGGTGCAGTTTTTGGTACCAAGACCTGACCACAGATCAGGTGGCACAAAGCAGCCAGAGTAACAGTCACGTATCTCCGTTGGAGCTAAAATCCAGGGAAAGGAGCCAACAGCTGGGGTGTTCATTCCCAAGATACAGAAAAGCTGTGCCATGAAAAAACTCTTGTCACGTGTGATGGTAACGTGGCACAAATGAGAAAAGCCCCCCCTTTCAGCTGCTCGCTGCTACTGGTGAGTGCCTGCGGAGCAGCAGATGGGATACAGGTCTACCCAGGTTCTGTTCTGCTGAGCAGCAGAGGAGTTTGCCTTCTCTGTTGAGTCTCTGCTGCCTGTGAGGAGAAAAGATGGTAGTCTCAGGAAGCCTTCCAAAATCTCAGAGTGCTAGCTCTAGGCCTGCTCCTGGCTCTGCCAGAATTTAGGAATAAAGGTTAACTTTTTTCCTGCCTATCAGCAGAGGTAAAAGGAAAAAAAAAAAAAGGCTACCACATCTACTCCAGTAACTCAGAAATCCAGATGTTTTTTCCTGTATGGTTTAAACAAGTGGCAAATTAATCAACTGACCAAATAGGACAAGACACAGAAGGGATCTGTGTCCTCTAGGTCACTGGGATTTGTCAGATAGCTCTCTGCAGCACATTCAGTGTTCCATGTACGGTGAAACTTCTACCCTGTCATCTGAGGCCCTTGGCTCTAGCTGTATCACAGTCATCTCCACAGCTCTTTACATAAAGAGCTCTCTCAGGTTTTAAGTAAGGCCATAACAGGGAATAGAGCCAGAAAACCTGTTGTATCTGCTGCTGTGGATTATTCCCATGACTTTTGACTTCAAGGAGTTCATGGTCTGAATCAGACTACACTCACAGTGAAATAAAGATCCCCAACAATAAACTTGCACAGATGCAGACAGCAGTGCTAGTATGAGAATGTGCTGATGTATAATTTTCTACTCACAAACTCAAAACACTGTTCAGAAGATGGCTCACAAATCTTAACAGATTCCCCAGAAACTGGACGCTCCCTGTGGGTTAGGACTACATGAGACTGCAATTTCTGTTAGTAGCAAGTCGCTAAAACAGTGCTTTTCTCAATAGCTAATTGTTCTGTGAATGACATGTGTGGAAAAAAAAAAAAAAAAGGTTATTTCTTGTGAAAAGTGTGTGTTTCTGAACAGTTGTGATGGTAAGCACAGTGTGCTGCTTTGAACAGCTGTGCTCACGTTCACGCTGCTATCGACACACAGCCCTACTCCCCGAGGAGCAATCAGCAGAGACGGTGTCCTTCAGGTCAGCTATTTGGAGTAATGTGCCAACTCAGTAATTATTTTACATCTTGAGCTGTCTGCTCCAAAGCGCATTTGCTTCCCCCCTGTAAGACACCTCATTTTACGTAAAAAGTTTGCTTCTGGTCTTAAAAAAGTGTTTGGACACTGAGTCATGAAAGCAGGAGCAGATTGCATCCTCTAGACCTGCTGCAATTGAGTGACACATAATTGTCACCTTTGGTTATATTGCAAAGAAACCATTATAAAATATGGCCCACCCGCACAGAAAACATTAGACATCTTTGAAAATTCAATTTGCTTTAAAACAAAGGCAATCTTTTCACGCCCCGGTGTATACACTGAGTCAAATACTCCCTTACTCTGAAATAAAGATTGAATTTCAGTCTGTGCCATGTGTTTGTGTCATGGCTGACCTGCGAAAGCTGTTAACAGACTATGACAAGGCCTACTAAGAAATCAGATGAAAACACAAATTTCAGCATTTCCCTGGGTTATGCATGCTGATGTATCTTGACTCATACCTCTGAAAAACGCCTGCTTATGTCAGATAAAGACTGATTTTTCTATTTATAATTCTGTCCCAGCATGAAACAGTTCACCTTGGACACTACTTTCCACTTCATCTATTGATAGTTCTATCAATGGGTTACGTCTAACCTGACAAGTTATACTCCAGATTATTCTGTTCAAGACTTAAGCTCACAAATTTAACTACATTTTTGATTCACTCAGGATATCAGTAAGGTTGCTCACTATACACGCAAGCTGTGCACCTGGGCAGACCAGTGCTACTGGAACAAACAAGTAGAATAAACACCATATTCGCCTTTCCCAATATTTCTTTTTGAAAGTTTACTAGTAAAATAAATGATGCATACAGGCTAATTTCCAGTTTCATCATACAAAGCCTTTTCACGTTTTCCCTTTTCTTAGCAATTCTATATACCATTTATCCTTTGCCTTGCTAAAGAATCTTAACTCCCAAAGCCCTGGATCCTACTCACAAATTAAAGGAGCACTTCCCCTCAAACTCATGCTGTATTTCCCTATGAAATCCTGATCTAAACTAATGTTAGGTCCCAGTCCAATTGGTCTGGGGTTCATAAGGAGTCTCCAAACACGTAATTATTTGTGAGGTGAAGTTGCTGGAAGTCCAGCTATCAAAGTTTATCTAGCCTGTTACAAAGAAAACCATAGGAGAACTTTACAGAGTTATCGTCTCCACTCGGAGTGACAAAAAGCAGTCATTACAACATGTGGAAGAAGACAACTCATTTTTTTCTAAACATTGTTACAGTGACAGAAGAGATGCTGCTCTACAGCTGGAAGGTAACACCATTGATAGTGAATGCCCTCTCTGCCCACTCTCTACTTCATAATTCATTAAAAATGACATGGTTTAACAAATAAAAAGGATTGCTAGATGCCTAATTGCTGGAATAATAATATTTTAGGAAAAGGGATGAAAAAGTGATGCAATAACTTCATTAAGAAGTAGTTCAATCAAAGAACACTTTTCAAAAGACAATTTGAAGAACAAAGCACCATCAACCAAAGGAAAAAACTGTGCGGTCTAAGCTATAAAGTATACTGAGTCAACTGCTGCTACAAAGCTAAGTGAAGTTACCATAAAGGTCAATAACTTCATAAAGGTCAGAAAAAAAACCAAAGACTTCAACTCATCAACAGTATAGCTTGAAATAAAAATTGTTACAGATAGGAAAAACAGCCAGGAAGACAAAAAAGCTTAGAAACTACTAAGATTAAGTTAGCAATTTACAAACACAGTAGCAATTAGCAATTTAGAAATACACCTGAAGTAGCATAGACCAGCCTACCATAAGAATACACAAGAAGATGCCTGAGTGTCTGTAGAATAGGTGACTTGAAGTACATCCAACACTCTCACTTAGCAGCATAGGAAAATAAATGAGGAAGTATGGTAAACAAGGGATAATTAAGGTGTTAATGCTTCACTCACTAACAAGCCCATCGACAAACATGGAGAAATTTATATTAAGAATTTAGGTTGCAGGTCTTGTATTGTGGTAAAGTTTCTAGTAAGACAATACTGCATAAAATAATTCTGCAATGAGGAGGAAATGGAAAAAGTGTGTCCAAAATAATCAGCAAGCTGAGTCAGTGCTGAGTGGAGCTTCAACCGGCAAAATATCCTTTCTGTACAGCTTTGTACCATGAATCTCCTTTCAAGAACATCACTGGATGTTCTTTCTGTCAACAGAAAAGAACAATTCGGTAACACTTAATATAATTACACTTTAATGAAACATTGAAGTTCTTCCTAGAGTGTTACAAAGATATAATACATTTGTAATAGAAGTGTAAAGGCTCAACATTAAAATGAAAAGACTTAGTAAAAAATATAGGTTAGAAGTTACTGCAGCAAACAGAATCATTACAGTTACACTTGTGGATTTTATTTTTTTAAAGAGAACCAGCAGTATTGACTGGTACATAGAGACAAAATAAAATACAGTGAGAGTTTTCTTTCTCCATACAGTATTCAATCAAATAGCACTGCAACGAACATTGATTTCATGCATAAGTGCAGAGAGGATTTTAAACTCTGCATATAGTACTTATTTCAGCTTTGGTACATCCCCATTTGCAACACATTCCTGCCAAACCCAGAGATTCACGTTTTCTTCTGGGATACCTGGTCCAAAGATAACTGTTTGATCCCACGGGGTTTGCAATTCCTGATCCTCCCCTGTCCTTCTGAACAGCTTCCTCTACCTGGTGAACAAGTTCTTTGAAGTTGTCCACCACAGGTAAATATTCATTATAGTCATTTAAACTATAGAAGTCCTTAAGTGTCTCCCACACAAGAAATGGGCTGCTTCTCTGCAGCTGCTCCACTTCAGGACCCAAAATTGATTGCAGCTTGAAGTTTCCCAGTAGTTTGTTACTTGCTGTTCGTGCAGAATCTGTTTAAAAAGAAGATTTTCTTTAGTTTCAGACTGCAGGGGTATCAAAAGGAGCACATAACTCTAAGAAGTAGCAATAAGAACCATTTCTTAGTAATAAGTGAAGCATTTATCTGGGAGAACTGTCAGTACCGCAGAGCCTCCACTCCATGATTTACTTATAGCTTACTTTTAGGGGAATCTATACGTTCTAAAGGCTAAACTGCCTGACAGACATGGAGAGTATACGGCTACAACCGTGACTGAGGTATAAACATCCTACAGCGTGTTACTGATATAGAAGCCTCAGTATTTCCATAAAAATAAAAATTTGTTGTAAAGATGTACCCAGAAACCACACAGAATTGTGTCGTGTGGCTCATGAACTAGGTTAGACTAGTTCTCTCCCATGCACAACCACACGAAGTAGCACCATATGAAGACCAAATGTAGGGAAGACTAAATAAGCAAATATCGTATGTAAACCACTTCTTACAGATTCTGATTTTCTATAGCTATTTTCAGCTGATGCTTTGCACTCGTTTCTTTAATTTCTCAAGGCATAGCAGAGGCAGAATTTACTTAGAAACACAGTTTCACTGACTGAAGTGTTCTCAAAAATCCAGCTCTACTTCCTTTCACTTCCCACCGTTTCTCTTGCTTTTAGTTCTGCAAGGGAAGTGGCACTCCTTGCTTCACCTAACGTGAAGAAAAACAGTTCCTTCAATTCTTAAGTTAAAAAAAAAAACCAACAAAACTTGTGTTTGACTTGTGCTGTTAATATGTCTTTTTGTTTCAGAAAGCTGAAAGAACATGAGAACACCCAGTGAACATTAACAGTTACTTAAATATGGCTTCTTAACATATAGAAGCTAATTTTCATATGGAACAGCTGCCTGAATACGGACAAAAATAAAAGTGGTTGTAGCAACTTTATTAATTAGACAGTAACTGCTCTTTGGTAGCCTTTTGGGGCAGGGAAGACTTTTAGATAGACAGCACACAGCAGTCAGGACTCCTTAGTGACTGATGTTCTCAGAAGCTACCGTTAATAAAAAGGAAAACAAAGTTTGCTGGGAAAGAACACAGTCTCAGCAGGGACTCTACATATGTCATTCGTTATAATTACAAAGGTAACTTTTACCTACTACTCAACCTGTCAGGGGGAAAAAAAAAAAAAAAAGGAAAACACTCCCAAGAATCCAAAATACTGGCTTCATTAACTGCCTGAGGTCTAAGGTTATTCCATTAACAGTACGTTTGAGAAAGAAGAAAGCGTTTCTAGTGCATATTTTAGCCGTAATTCCAACCTTTGTCCTTGTTAAAAGGCGTTATTTTCAGTACTCAAAATATCAACATAAATGAGAGTCACCTCGTTACTTAAAATTACTGTTACATTACCCATTAACTGTTTCCCCAAAGACCCCTAGAGCAGTTCTTACTGTTTAAAGCGCAACCTGAAGAAGCATCATCCAAAAAAGTCCCGGCCATCCCCCAACACGCCAACTCTTTTGCACAGAGCAGCGCACCCGAGCGATAAAAACACCCCAAACGGCTGCCCGTCCGGTACCGGCCGTGGCGCAGCCGAGGAGGACGCGGAGCACAGCGGTCCCCTCACCCCAGCCCGGTCCCCCCCGCCCCCAAAGCCACCCGGAGCCGGGGGGGCGGCGAAATCACAGCCAGAGGCGCTTCCCACCGCTTCCGAGGGCGCGCCGCGCTCCCCCGCACGGCCCAGAAGAAGCGCGATTTATTCTTTCCGGTTTGTTTGATGGTTTGGTATGTTGTGTTTTGTTTTTTAAATAAAGAGTTCGGTGAGCCTCGGCCGCCGACGGGGCTGCTCAGCCCCGTGCAGAGCGACGTTTCCGAACAGACCAAAAACTTGGCGGGTTACCCCGGGAATTGCCCGGTCCTTTCCCCTCCTGCGCGGGATTCCTTTCGGAAGGGAGGCGAGATCCCGACCCGAGCCAGCGGGGAAGGGGCGCTCCCGGGGCGGCTCAGCGCAGGAGGAGCGAGCTCGTCCCCGCTCCCTCCCGTTTCCCCCCAATCTCTCCTCACCGGGCCTCTCCCGAGCGAGGCGCGGCGCCTCGACAGCCTCCTCCGCCCCCGGGGCTGCCCGGGCAACGCCGCCGCCCCGGGGCCGCCTGTGGCAGGGCTGCCCCCTCCGGCCTCGCCTCGCCCGTCCCCCCGGATACTCACCGCCCGCGGGCGCCGGCTCCATCGCCAGCAGGGAGAGCCGCTTCCAGCGGGACCCGCCGCAGGTGAAGATGACGGCTCGGATGAACTCCCGCCCGCACAGCTTCACCCCGTACCCGTCCCCTTCGCCCGCCGACAGCGCGGCGGCGGCTACCGCCGCTCCCCGGCCGCCGGGCTGTCCCGGCGGAGCCGCCGCGCAGATGAGCGCCGCCGCGGCGCAGAGGAGTCGCAGCTTGGCCCCCATGGCGCCGACCACCCGTCCCGGTCCCCTTGGCGGATCCGCCGAACCGCTCCTAACCGCCGGCGCTCACGGCCCTCGAGCCCAACCGCCGCCCCGCGTGCCGCGCGCGCTGCCGCCGCCGGCCCGCCCTCCCGCCTTTTATGCGCTGAGGGCACCGCTGAGTCACCGCCCCAGCCCTGCCGCCGCCGCCTCGCCGGGCGGTCCCCGGGCCTGACACCGGGCGGCCTCGGGCAGGGCTGACGCCTCTGTTTGCCCCTTCCTCACGCCCCGGTGAGGGTGCACCTCGCCTCCGGCTTCCCCTCAGGCCGGCCGCCGGCTCCCCACCGCCCCGCGGGCCCCTCCGCGCCCTCTCCATCTCAGCCTTTCCGGGCTGTGGGCAAGTACCGGTTGGCGATGCACCTCCAATGGCTTCTAAAATGTGGAAGACTTCTGCTCGCCTGGCGTGTTTTTGCCTTGCGGGTCTAGAATCCACATAACAACTACTCAGGCCTAAAAGTGTTGGGTGAAGCAGAAAGGCAGAAGCAAGTAGAGTGAAATAAACGTGCTTCTACACAACTACTTAAGCTGCGGGCACTTGAGGTGGGATTTAAAAGCCGGAATTCCTCTCAAATTCAAGTGAGTTGTTCTGGACACCCATGTTCAGTGGCAGCTGTAGGCACCCAAGCGTCAGAGACGCCTCGGCTCCGACACGCGTGCCCTGGGGATGCGGAGCTCCACACCCCTGTGTTTCACCAGCAGCCCTCAGCAGGCTCTCACCAATGAGGGTGGCTTTCTCTGGACTTACCAAGCAGAACTGTGCGCCCTGTGAAAGTAAAGCTTGCTTCGGGGGAGTTTTTTTGAGGGCGATAGGACAAGAAGTGGCTGTTGTTTCCTTTTATAAACAGCCATACGGTGGAAAACCAGAAAAGTTAATCGCCGTAAAAATACAATGAGGCTCTTGTTTACAGATCTTTTGTATAGGGTTTGCTTTCTATCCCGAGAGTGCTGTTAGTTTATAGAGAAAACCACTCAAAACTCCATCTAGAAGGAGAGCACAAAGAAGACGTGCATCCATGGCCTGGTGTACAAAGGTGAGTGATTCACCTGCGCTGGCAGAGGAGAAATAGACACCAGTCCCCTGTTCAAGGAGAACTTGGGTGTTTTATGTTGACCAGGATCTAGAAAGAGGTTGTGGAGGTGTAGAATAGTGAGCAACCTGCAAAGTTGTCTGTACTTGGACTTTCTTTTTGGTCCAGTCATAAATGTTTTGAACAATGGCACCACTTCAGCAGTAGACACTAGCTATCATCCAGGCCATTACTGGGATGCAGTCTGCAGAAATGGAGGCTGCCAATCCAAAATTCCTGAAGAATAAAACCTCCATCTGTTTCTCCCTCAGTTGAAGTCCTGACTGCTATTCTGTTACAGACAATTTGTGCTGAGATAATCCCAACTTCCACTTTTAAAGAGAGCAGCAGCTTGACCTTGTTGGTGTTGTGGACTTTTTCTGAAAATAGCCATCACATCAAGTGAACTTACTCCTGCACTGTAAGTAGTCTTATAGGCAAGGGAGTTGTTACCAGTGGCTGCAGAGCTGTAGTCACGTGCAAGAGCACTACCACGACTTTCAGGACAATAAGGGAGGTGCCTCCTGAGTCAGGCAGTGACTGACCCAGTGACTTACTTAGCTTGTAAACTAATATAATTTACCTTATACCCTACTGTAATGCCCATGCCCAATACTGGATCCAGCCTTTGAAAGCAGCAAAATGTCTGATATGTCCTTCTCAGAGTTTTTCACCAAAGAATGTCAAGAGAGGTTCCCAAATAGCAGGCTGACTCATCAATGTACACCACAATTTGTGTCTGTCCACAATTGCATCACAATTTGTGACTCTCTGACTCTCCACCTGCTTTAGTTTCAAATTTAATTGTAACCATCAGTTACTGTGGCACCACATCTAACTCTCCCTAAGCAAAGGCAGGCATTATGATGGCCACCTTTAGGTTTTTTTTGTAAGAACCTCATTTTTCACAAGTGTCTGAAGCACGTAACCTCCAACTACAGCACTCAAAAGACTGGAAAACAAATAGATCAAAACAGTTTTTCTGACCTCACCTGCTTCTTCATCAGGGCTAGTGAATGTGAAAGACGATTCTTCCTGTGCTTTCTGTTGCGCTGGTTGGTAGGTGATGGAGCACGGGTTGTCAAAGAGGGCTTGGAGGGAACGGCTTCTCAAGACATTCCTAATTCCTCAGGGGAGCCCACACTGCAGCACTCCTCATCACTCTTCCTGTTGGAAAGCATAGGCTACAAATGCTGCCTTGCTAGGATTAAAGACTGCAGCAACAGGCAGCGAGTTAATGAGTTTTATTAAGGATCATATCTGAATAAGCTGGCAGTAGTTTGACATTGCTTAATGTTACTATGCTCAATGCAGTTTCACTAGTAGGGTGTATGATGAGTATTTTTCCTCCAGCCATATTTTAGTAACATTGCCTTCACATCTAGGGCTTTTGCATCTGCTGTAATTTGAATAGTGAGTTATAAAGAAAGTTACTATGTTAGTCATGTAACTTTAAATCATACGAGATTTTATATATAAAAGCCCAACTGGCAGTCTGTCAGTAATTTGCGATGAATTTAAATCAAGTCAGAGGCGAGGTTTAATTATCTGTTCATCATGGCTAGAAAAACTACTTCTATTCAAAACAATACATAATAAATAATTTAAATGCAACCAATCTGAAGCAACTATCTACCTACCACCAATATTAACAATAACAAAAAGGGGTTTTTTCAGTATGTTAACAGCAAGAGAAAGGTTAGGGATAATGTGGGCCCACTGATGGATGAGGTGGGCACCCTAGTAGTGGAAGACACAGAGAAAGCAGAGCTGCTGAATGCTTTCTTTTCCTCAGTTTTCACTGTTAGGACTGCCCCTCATGAATCTGTGACCTTGGAGGCAAGGGGGAGGTATGGAGAGAGGAAATTTTTCCTCAAGTAGATGAGGACCAGGTTCGGGCCCACTTGGCCAAACTGGACATTCATAAGTCCATGGGCCCTGATGGGTTGCACCCACGAGTGCTGAGGGAGCTGGCAGACGTTATCGCTGGACCACTCTCGATCATCTTTGAGAAGTCATGGAGAACAGGAGAGGTGCCTGAGGACTGGAGGAAGGCCAACATCACTCCAGTCTTCAAAAAGGGCAAGAAGGAGGACCCTGGGAATTACAGACCAGTTAGTCTCACCTCTGTCCCTGGGAAGGTGATGGAGAGACTCATACTAGATGTCATCTCCAAACAAGTTGAAGAGTGGGGGGTTATTGGAAGTGGGCAACACGGGTTTACCAAGGGTAAATCATGTATGACCAATCTGATAGCCTTCTATGATGCCATGACCGGTTGGTTGGATGAGGGGAGGGCAGCAGATGTCATCTACCTTGACTTCAGCAAGGCTTTTGACACTGTCTCCCATAACATCCTCATTGGGAAACTGAGGCAGTATGGGCTGGATGAGGGGACAGTGAGGTGGATTGAGAACTGGCTGTGTGACAGGACCCAAAGGGTAATTATTAATGGAGCAGGTTCAAGTTGGAAGCCTGTAACCAGTGGAGTCCCCCAGGGGTCAATACCTATTCAAAACAATACATAATAAATAATTTAAATGCAACCAATCTGAAGCAACTATCTACCTTCTTACTGTTTGTATGATAAAGAAGAACAGAAAACAGCAAAGATATGAAATTCCATTCTTGATCTGTAGGATCTTGCCTGATAGGTACGTCCAGTGTACTGTCTCAATACAAATATTTTGTATTTTTTAGTTTCCTAAAATAAGGTAAAGACAATTAATTTTACCGTTTCCCTCCCTTGCACTAAATTTTGGATTTGTTGGCCAATAGCAATCAAAGTTTACAGGAGGCAAAGGAAGTTTCGTGAAAACAGGTGGCTAAATAAAAAAGATACCCTTTAACAATACCTTGATAGCCTTGAATACCATGAAGGAAAGGCTTATTCACACGTTAAATGTCAGACAATCTACACAATAGATCAGAAGTAGATCAGAAATGAACAGACTTCATTAGTCATTTTTCAGAGACTGCATTTCAGATTCATCCAATTCACTGCTGCAATAACCACTTAGTTTGTGAAAGTTGCCCAGATGTTAATTTCAAATATTTCTCGTTTCCTTAGGACTAGACAGGGTTCTGCAAGAACTGTGAAATACCACTGCATGCACATGATTGTTGAGTAAGTACCAGTGGTATCCAGCTGACTTACCTAGGGCTTCATCAGAAGATCATCATGGGTTTTAGAAAGCAGTCCACCTTTAAGAAAGCTAATAGTTACAAAAAAGAAGAAATCCAAGGATTTTTGTATCAATAATTCCAAGACTGATGAAAAAATTAAATAATAATGCAGAAACTATCTTGATTGGTTATGTCCACATAAATGCCTTCCCCTTCAACTTTTAAAAGCAGTGACATGCAGTCATAAAATAATTTCAAAATATTTAGGAAGGGGCTGTAAGGGTTAACTTTCCCTATCATGAGAAAGGTTTGGAAAAGTTAAATCAGTCATCCAAGGAATAAAGGAAGAGGCCCAAACTGGATCCCCTGAAGTAACATTGCCTGTTTCTCAACAATACTCATGTATTATATCAAAACCAGACTAACAAGAGAAGTGTGGGGCGGGCAGTTGTGGCTCACAAATTGCATGCACTTTTTTGGATTCTGAATGAGACACTAAGAGTTTAATTTTGACATCCTAATCATGACAGACTTCTCACTTTCCCGGAAGAATCCTGCTCTGAGTGACACTGATTCAGGATGCATGGCTATCAGACATTACGACCAGAAAAAACAACAGGATTAAGATGGTAAGAAGAGTAGTGCCCTGAGGTCAGAACAAGCCCCCCCCGCAGTTATTCTCCTTCCCTTCCCCAGTGATTGATGAAAACAGCCAGTTGCTGTGATATATTAAAGTATGCCTTACACCTGAAGCCAGCTGAGCACCAATGACAGAAGAGAGCAGGATGTCTTTGATGTTTTATTTATTTCTGCAAGTACAACAGGTATGATGATTACGGGCAACTTGTGCTGTAAACATCTGTTTCCCTGAAGCAGACCCTGTCAAAGGTAAGCTTTCCTGCTTTCTTTCATTGTTCTCTGAAGAAGTCATACAGTTCAACCACTCTGTAGCTGGACATCTGTGACAGATATGACTGGGCTTGGCACATGCAAGCATTTTGATTAACACACTGGCAGTAAAATGAATAATCCATAATAAAGAATTAGTATCTTCAAAACAAAAGCATATATTTATCAAGAAAAAAGCAAAGCCAACAGTAAAAAATAAAGGCAGTAAAGGTAACAAACCCTTAACTTCTTGATGACCTTTGGCACATTCTAGGTAGCCTGTTTAAATCCATTTCTGGGATTGGCATTAGATTGTCCTGCTTGGAGCCTGTCATTTTTGCCTTATAAATTTAGTAATTTTCACCAATACTCACTGTGTAACACTGAATCAAACCTGACTTATTGGCGTCACTTTTTAGTGTGGAGTCTTTAGCATGGATTAACATCATTGATCTAAGCTTAACCTTCAGGAGAAAAAAAAATATTCAAATTTAGCTAGGATGGAGCAATAAATAGCTATCCTATTATCTTCTGAAACTGCTGTCAGGATCATTATTTTGCTTAGCCTGCTTGCTTCCTTTAACACCACTTTTGATCCAACACCATAGCCAGCAATCTATTGCAAACACACATACACTAATTTCTAATTCACAGTGGGTAGGGTTAGGGTATTTCCTAATTTTCTAGGATTTGTAAGTAAAACTGCTCACGTGTAAAAATGTCTTTCATATTTTTAAAAGGTGAGTTAAAAGGCACAGGTGGAGACACAGAAATACCAAACCAAGACGGTTTAATTGTTTTTCTTTTTTTTTTTTTTAAAGAAAAGAGTATCAATAGATGACAGAGACCAAAAGGCTATTATAACTTCATCAAAGTTAAAGCAAGGTGGAGTTCAGAACTTGGAGGTAAGGTAGCAGATGTCCTGTTATTCAAAGCAAAACAAGTAACCAGGGATATGTAAGTCCTAAGTGCAGTAAATAATATAGTAGCAAGTGGTGAGGGATTATGTTACAGGACAGGCAGAAAATTAAGCTGGTCTTTGGCTGCATTTTGTGAGGTCACCCAGAACATGGGAAGCACCATAGGCTGAGTTGAGGCACGCCTTCCAAGCCAATTAAAATTGATGCCTTAAATACTGAACAGCTAAAGTGTAGACCAAGCTATTATAACCCATTTTATCACTCTGCACATTAAAATGCAACACATTTGAAATCTGTTACAGGTTGTATGCATCGTTAACATGCAATGACAGAACCAATTACAGAAGTGAATGCAGAAGTGAATACACTTTCAGAAATCTTACACAGCAATGGAAACTGTGCTATTAATTTATTCTACATTGAGAAGCTTTTGTTTTACTACATATTCACATGTCTCACTGTAACAATATTCTAACTTTAGTCAAGTCATCTTCAAAAAGAGACTCAGGGCATTATCTCCACCCAGAATTTAATTTTTATCTCAACAAATTGTCAGTACAGACTTGGCTTAATTCATTATTGGATGCTTTTCGGGCATTTGTTTTTCATTCCACAATTAGACTAATGCTAGAATAGTTTCCACCAAAGCACAAAATAATCTGGTTTTAAACAAGATTTCCAATACAGAAAGATGCCTTTTTTTTTTGCCAAGTGTAACATCAGAACACTAAAATATACTAACATTATATTCTCTGTATATACCATGCTAGAGTAAAGGCATGCAAAAAATCCCTCAGTTTTTCAGTACTTGTAAGACCCCTTGGATCTACCCATTACAAAAACATACATTAGTAATTTTGCTTGCTGTTAGTCTAAGTTAATATTCATCTTAGTAGTGAAACTCTGATTTCATGTAAACAAATTATCCTGAGTTTCAGAATGTCAAACAAGCATGAAAAAGATTCAGGAAATAGCTACATAATTTGTTTTCTCTTTTTGAGAAATTATCTCTGCTTATACTTTAATACAGTTTTTCCTAAGAGTAAAACACACAGTTAGCAAGTGACGTGTTTACTTCTGAACCTACTTCTGATAAAAGCTGTTTATTCCAGAATTTGAAGCAGAAATAGTGAGTTTACTGCCTAAAGAACAGCAAATAAAAAGTGCCTTATTTTTCAAAGTTGACTGTCTATTCCTGACTTCAAAATGAGCTATGCATCCTTAAATACATTTGAAAATTATGACCATATTCATACACATTTGTAACTACCAATTAACTTATTTTTGTTGATTGTAGTGAGTTTGGTCAGCACCAGACATTTTTACTACAGGTGAAAGTTATTTTCAGACTCTAAATAGTGTCAATTCAATATTTCATTCTAAACAAGAAAAATATACTACAGTAACAATGGAAGTTTTCAAGAGATACATAAGATACAAAAATCATTGCTTTAGAAAATACCAGTTAAAAAAATGAATTCTATTTCAATTTTATAAAAGCTTGTAATTTTCTTAAAATTTTAATGATTCATTTATGTCCAAAACAAGTATTACAATCACATTTCAGACATTCAGCTTTAATACCATCTTCCTATTTTTCTATGAAGAACTTGCTCTGAGATCTTCTGATTTTCTCCAGCTCTTCATAAGTGAGTGGTCCTTTCGGCAATTCTAGCAAAGTGCTCTGTGTGTCCAAAATGTTCTCTGCTTCACCTTAAAAAATTTTAAAAAATGGAGTAAGTTCCCCACCCTTGTTTGGGCCACAACAGCAAAATACCAGGTCAATGTATTTTACAAATGAGCTGATGCCAATGTAGCATTAAAGTTGTCTCCAAGGAATTTTGGACTGGTGGGATATCTGCACATGGAAGTGTTTGGTCTGAACTGAATACTTGCCTCAGTCTGCATTCGTTTGAACGAACTTCAGACAAAACAACTAATCGTGCTGCTGTTGTTGCAGTTTCTGTTAGCCCCTTTCTCCTAAAAAATACAGTGTTATATTGATGTTTCGTGTAGAGATTTATTACACACATGCTTTGAATTGGAGCATGAGATAACTGCAAGGACTTAGCATCACCTTGTACTTTCTAACAACTCCATACTGTATTTGACCAATTAGGAGTCTGAGAAGAGGGTGGATCGGACATAGCCATAAAAGCATATGTAAGCTTTAACAAGTAAATTCCCTATATGCAGTAACCTAGACATGCTATATTTGGGCACAATTTTCCTTCTTGTCTCAGGCCTACGCTAAGAGATATGAGGTTGCAGGCAGAAAGTGGGTAGCACAGGCTTTGAAGAAGCATTAAAAGTAGACTGCTCCCAAAAAGATTTGCTAAGACGGCCTCCTAAACATGCAGTCTTAACAGCATAGCAGGGAAAAGCTGTAGGGTGCAGAATGCTCTGGGTAAGGCTGGAATGAAAACATCTAGGACAGAGAATCCAAAAAACAAAGATATGGATTGAACATCATACATAAATTGTGGTGGTCTGACTGTGATATAAGAAAGGATGAAGATTAGGCAAAGAATGTGTTTTGGCTGATCCCATTTGGTACAATGCCAACAATCTTGTTTACCTATGCCTTAATTCCTAGCTTGATGATCGTTAAGGCAAGGATTTGAAGCTGTATTTATGTGCAATAAACCTGACTGAATATTGTAATGCAGTCAAGATTGTGGTCAATCTTTAAAACAGGTCTGAATGCTGAAATCTCCCACTGCAATTTTGGTAGTATTACACTGCTTGGGTTTTCTACACATCAGTAATATCCAACAGGATGACACTGCTACTCCCAGTAACTGGAAACAACATGTGAGTCAGTTGCATATAGCATCTCATTATGGAAGACGAAGAAATCTTAGGTGACACAGAGATGTTACAGATAGTCAAATCTCTGTGCATGTGACTCAGATGCTCTAGAGCAGATTGCCTAGTCACCATCCTTCTCATATGGCTCAGGATACTAGCAGTGAACTACCTAAATCTTGGAAAAGGTAGCCAGTTTTATTGCTTAGTGGAGACGTTCTGTGCAGTTGGAGGCTGGCAATATAATCCCTCCCCTTCTCTAATAATTTGTCTGAGAAACACCAGCAATATGTACTAGGCTAGGAGGAGAAGCAGAACAGCAAGCCAAGAACACAGATAGTAGGTTCATGGCTGATACTTACTGTCCCCAGCCATTCAGAAAAGATTGTGCACCAGACAGGTGTTCTGTAACCCTAACATCACCAGAAGACTCAGTTCTATTACATGACTCTGGCACACTTAGGGATTTTCAGCAGCACAAGCAGAACTCAAACAGGTATTTCCCCTGTGTCCTCGTTTTTGCTTTAACTAGCCCAAGTTATAAAGCAGGAAAAAAAACACCTTCCAATGTCTATGCGGGAGAATAAGCAAATAATGAGAAAATGTTTGTACAAGTAGGCTAGAGACAGAATTAAAAATTAACTGTAAGCAACATCAGAGACAAAATGCCTGGTGAAAGAGAAATAGAGAAACCTCTCAGGAACATAAACTGATTCCAAAGAATGAAGGATGGCAGATGCAGGGTATTTGATCAAGGTAGTTAAGATACAAGGAAGATTGTGTAGCGTGGAAATAATCGCAAATGAACTTAGGAGAGAGAATTGGCTGTGTGGCTGAAGATAGGCATACCCTGGGGGAAAAAGACCAGTTAAAGGGAATGGTGTATACAATCATTATTACACCAGAGGTGAAGCATGGCATGCACCAACAGAATATATGGGCAAGCAGAGAGGTGGTTTGAGAAAGCAGTATGGGAGTGGTCACAGGGATCAGCTGAGTAGTAAGAACAAGTATTATGGCTGTGGGTCAATTGTGTCATAAAACCTTTTCTTCAAGTACTTAATTTTAATCTTAAAATAAAATAAACTCCTGAATCTGATTTCCACATAATTACAAATCTTCTTCTTATTTCCAGCCCAGATTCGTTCAGGCTAATCCACTTCCTTTAATTTCCTTCTCTTATGTTCCTTTATCCTAGCCTGTAGGTAAGATCTGTAGACCCAAATCTCTGACGTCTTTTTACAAGGCCATACAAACTAATTGCTTTGTTTTCTTTTGCAGGATAGCTTAGCATTCCCAGATAATTTTAACTCTTCAGTAATTGTAGATTCCTTGTACAGAAGTAATCCAAATTATGTAAAACTTCCAAGGAACATTACTGTTCTCCTGCATCAATACCTTCCTATCTGTACTCTCCATTTGTACTAAGGTTGTGGAACATCCATCCCTGGAAATATTTAGAGGCCATCGGGCTTTTTTTCTGGGCCATTGGCTCTAGGTGATCCTGCCTGACCAGGGCGGTTCAACCAGACAACCTCCAGAGGTCCCATCCAACCTCAACCATGCTGTGATACTAAGAAACTTCACTTGATGATTGTAGACTTCGCTTGACTCCCATAATTTCATCACACTGGATTATACTCATTCTGTGATCACTTAATACATTCAGGTTTTTCCCTTTTTCTATCATTTCCAAATGGTGACCTCTGACGGTAGAAATCCCTATTAGTCTCTAGCTTCTCATTGACCTTATCAAATCAAATCCTATTTTATTATCTCAGTTCTTCACGTCACCAGCTCTTCTTGTACTACAGTGCATTTCCTCTTTGTTGATGACACCAATCAAATTTGTCATCCACATAAAGATCCATAAAGATTTGGTTACTATAACCTAATCATAATTTCAAATACTAAATAAAAGCAGATCCAGATAAAATCTTAAGGAATATTGCTAATATCCCCGCTACTTCCCCTTTAAGCACAAATTTTGACATCTTCTCTTTACTCCAGTGCTTACCTTTCTACTAATTTCCATGTTTTTCATGCTAACTTAACCTTCATGTGATACCACACTAAATGTTTTCATGAGTTTATAGTAGATCTACCACATTTCTTTTGGAAAAGAGAAATTATTTTCCTGGAAAAGACAGAGTTACTTTGGCATATTTCATTTTATCTTTGTCCCCATAGCTTCTTTTCTTCCAAACCTTTTCACAATTTAAGGAATATTGCTAATATCCCCGCTAAAGCCTAGCCTTCCCCTTTAAGCACAAATTTTGACATCTTCTTAAGGAATATTGCTAATATCCCCGCTACTTCCCCTTTAAGCACAAATTTTGACATCTTCTCTTTACTCCAGTGCTTACCTTTCTACTAATTTCCATGTTTTTCATGCTAACTTAACCTTCATGTGATACCACACTAAATGTTTTCATGAGTTTATAGTAGATCTACCACATTTCTTTTGGAAAAGAGAAATTATTTTCCTGGAAAAGACAGAGTTACTTTGGCATATTTCATTTTATCTTTGTCCCCATAGCTTCTTTTCTTCCAAACCTTTTCACAAATGTTGCATATGGATGAAGTTGCCCTAATAGATCTGAAGTTACGAAGATGACTTTTCCTATTTGGAAACACACTACATACTCTTGCCAGGGGGTTTGCATTATGATATACTCACTCTTTCAAAATTCTTGAATGAACATGTGGTCATTTAAAAAAAAATAAAAATAAATTAACAAATCCTAAATTCCAAGTATTCCTTCTGCATTGTATGTACTAATGTCCTTTTCAGCTCTTGGATTTCCAAGAGCCACTCAGTGTTTCTCCCTGTGCTTAGCTGCTTCTTCATATAAAAATCCAAATAAATTTATTTAGCGGGGTTTATGAAAAGTTCACAGATGTACATTGCTGCATCACCTGAATATGTTTGCACTGCACCTGTATGCAGCAGGAAATATCTCAGAGTATGCCTAATTTTTCTATCATTATTTTAATGACGTACACAGAGTTAAGAAACCTAGCTCTTAGATCTGGAGGCTAAGACCAAGAGTTGAAATAAATTTTCATTTTGTTTCAGTGTGTTTGTGTCAGTAACAGACAGGAAAATCAGGCTAGTTAACTAAAATGATCTGTGAAGATGACAAGCCAATGCTGTCTTCACTTAAAGTGAACATTCTCTTAGCATGTCTCCTTCAATAGGATTCAGAGCAAACATGTAAATGTACCTCCACAATCCTCAATACCCATCACTTGATCAGACCTGCCACTGGCAACCATGAGGCAAGACACCACTTTTTGGGACTTACCTTAATTTTTGCAGCTTAGCAGGGCACTGTGGCAAGATGATCAGCTGACAATTCTGTATCCCTTTATCTGCTCTTATGATCCCTATCCCTTGCCAAAACAGCAGCAGCAGAGTGGAATATGGAAGTAAATCACTAGATCTGTCTTTTCTCACATATATGCAATGCTTACTTGAGCTGTGTTTATAGCCTTAGAATGCAAATTTTTGAAACAAGAGGGGAGAAATTAACAAGCAGTCTTAACTGGAGGGAAAAGCCGTAAAAGTAGGGTGATTACTTTTGACTGGGGAAGTATCTGATTGTAATAGAGAAGACAAGAAATGAAAGAGTAAGATTTTTGTCCATAAAAAAAGAGAAAATCTATTGCAAGTTTTCTCCCAGCCATATTAAACTTGGTTCCATGTATGAACCAGCCAGAATTATACACACATACCTTTTATCCTTTGCAACAGTGTCCCATAGCCCATATCATATTGATAGGCAAATATAAAGCTTAAGGGAACTATTGGCAGTAAAACTCCTGGGTTCTTCTTTTTTATTGCTCTGTTTAGGGAAAAAAAAAAAAAAAAAAAGAAAGAAAAAATAAGATTATTTATGGCATTCAGCACATTCTTCCTTTAGGTTGGCCTTGACTGTCTAGGACTTGTGTGTCCTTCTACACTCTCTAATCAAAGAAGTGTTAATTTCCTCAGAAGCATTCGTCTTCTGGTTGCCTTCTTGCTCAACTGTCAAACCCAGGGTATTAAAAAAAATGCTTCAAGTGGCTTTTGAATATATCTAACAACAATGGGATAATCTAACTCAGGTAGCATGCATGTGTGCACGCATATATCCATCCAGCTACATGCAACACGTAGCAATCAAGACACTATGTTCAGTTCCAAATATATCTGAGTCCACAGAGAATGCATAATGCATAAGATGCATTTCATCTGTACTATATACACAAAACAAACCGACAAATATTTCCTACATTCCCCTAATCATGCTATAGCACAAGAAAAACATGTTAACAAACAGAAGGCCAATAATGCAAGTTCTTCCCCATGGAATACAGCTTTATTAGCCAGGGTTTCTTCCCCCTTGGGTGAATATCTTGATTCAAATTTTAAGTGAACAGACTTCAGAATATGTCCTCTTGTTCACCAACATATTAAAAAACCCAGATGGTGGAGTATTTTTTGCTCATTAACAGTTCATTAAATCACAATACAGACAAGAAAATGGCATGGCTTTTAAACAATCCCTCCTGTTCCACACACAATTTTTAATTTACATTGAACTTTTGATACCTCAGCTCTATCAGTTTATTGTCAATTCAGTACAGGCATAATCAAAACATATCTGGAAGCAGACAGAAATCACAGTCACTTTGTCATCTGATCAACCTTTGAGCAGTTACTGGATAAAAATAACTCCCTGTTATAATGCAAGAGGAAGATCCAGCATCACAGAAATAAAAATGTAATATAGTTATATTTTCTATTAGGAAACAAACTTCATACCTAGCTGTTAAACCTACAGCAGCAAGTCCAAAAAATGTCCCAAAATATTTTAGAAATTCCCGTGTCCAAGCAATCTGCATGGCTGTTTGTCTCTCTCTCATCTGGTTCTGCATCAGTAGTTGCCTTTCCAGCTGAAGAAGAAAGAGAGGTTAAACAAAATTAAGTCATCCATTTATTTTAACAATGGAGTCAATCTCTCATTGGTCTAGAGAACAAGTTTTATGAGGGGAAGCTGAGGGAGCTGGGGTTGTTCAGCCTGGAGAAGAGGAGGCTGAGGGGAGACCTTATTGCTCTCTACAACTACCTGAAAGGAGGTGGTAGACAGGTGGGGGTCGGTCTCTTCTCCCAAGTCACAGGCGACAGGACGAGAGGAAATGGCCTCAAGTTGTGCCAGGGGAGGGTTAGGATGGATATTAGGAAAAATTTCTACACCAAATGGGTTATAGAGGATTGGAACAGGCTACCCAGGAAAGTGGTGGAATCACCATCCCTGGAGCTATGTGAAAGATGCATAGCTCTGAGGGGACATGGTTTAGTGGTAACTTGGCATTGTTAGGTTAACGGTTGGACTTGATCTTAAAGGTCATCTCCTACCAAAACGTTTCGATGATTCTATAAATCCAAAACACTAACTGATAAAGGTGTTTTTTTTGTTATTTTATTTCAGTCATTCATACCTTTTGATTGAGATTGAATTATTCTTCAGTAATATCTCAGAATAGTTTATACCAAGAAAGCGTTTAGGTCAATTAGCAAATCCTTTAACGCAGAACCTTTCTAATGCTGCTTCTCAAGGTCAAGAAAACCAAAATACCAGTGTTAGTTTTTAAGAGTTCCCCCAGTCTCAGCAGCATGGTCTAATTTAACGTTCTCTGACCTTTGCATTTCCATGGTGATTCAAATGGGAGCATCCAGCTACTTTCCAATTTATTCTGCTTGATTTTAATTTAGCTGATAGTATCTTTAGAGTAAATCTTGACACCTTTTTGTCCTTTGAGGATTTATCTTCTCTGTGATGCATCATAAAGCTATTAACTCTTTTGAAACGCCACAGTTACAAATATAGAGAAAACAATGAGAAGATATCAGATCTCTTCAAGATACTGGAATACATATCAAAAGTCCATGAAAAAATACTTCTGTAACTGAAATTAAAAACAATAATGCAGAAAGTAAAATCTAGACAGTATATTCACATGTCAAAGTAGAACTGTCTATGGTGCATAAGAATAAAAAACCAGACTATTAGATTTATTATTTTTTAATTACATGCCCCATCTAAACCTATTGGTACTTTTCTATCAAATAAAGGTAAATTTAGTATTTCTTAAGAGTTCTTCTCTACTGTACAAAACACCAAAAAGAACAATAGTCTTTCATCCTTAGTGATGCAAAAAATAAGAATTGTGCTGAAACTAAGCAGTCTGAAACCTGAGTACAGAAGTTAGTTAACACAATAAGAAGTCTACTTCTTCCCATTAATGTTTGTAACTCATTTTTTGGGAAAAAACAGAGTTACCTGAGCTAGTATGTCTAACCTAGCCAACAGTGTTGAACAAAAAGTACAACAAGGTACAGGAAACAGAATACCAGCTACCTAAAAAACTGTATTCTAGAAAAGAAAGGACAAAGAGAGAATTCAGAAAGTTCTCTTCTCATGCATCTATAAAAGTAATTAAATATGTTCTTTTCTCCTGCTTTCTAATTCAAGAATAATTTAAAGGATATGTAATTACTTGAGGTTTCAACCCATTTATTCATCTCCATTACTATTGATTTAGCCTGAACAGAACAATTTCTGTTAAATTGTTACTAATTATTTCTTCAGACTATGTTGATCTTGCTGTCTTATTTACAAGCTCATTCAGTACCTAAATAGGTAGAATTAATTTTTTAGACAGCATAATAAAAAAGGACAGATCTAATTACATATAATTGTACACAGAAGGAAAAACAACATTTACTGTAGTCTCACAATACTGTTTCATCTGTTTCTCTTTCCTCAAGACTTACATTGCAATTGCTGTTCTCACAAAAAGTGTGAACAGGCTCTACCTTCCTGACATCCATAATTTTCAGATTGCTTTTTTTTTCAGAACAAGTAATTATATAATGCCTGACAAACCACTTAATAAAATATCAAAATAATTATATTTTATTTTGTCACCTATGAGACACTTGGAAATTCTAATGTAAACAAGCACACTGCCCCTTAATTAGCCTCATTGTGGTCCCCAATATCCTAAGCCTGGTAAATTGCTGAGGGTTGATGCGACAAGATAAAATAATGACGTGTAATATCAATTTAATGACCTCTATTTTCCCCTTCAATTTCATTATGTGTGTAGTTTGCACATGTGTGAAACGTATTAAGGGATGCTTTGTTTGCCAGTCAGCACAGATAAGGAGCCTACGCTTCCAAGATACACAGTATTACCCTAAATGAGCTTCAATTTGAAGCAGGACATGGGGAGGAAGTGGGACAAGGATATGCCACTGAAATATAGGTCTTGCTAAAAGGAAACTTAATGGAGAAGAAAAAGAGTTTAATATGCTTGGAGCATAGAAAGAAGTAAGCACAGAACAAAAAGAAAGTTGTAGGTTTAAATATACAAAAGCAAACTAAATAATCGCAACATGAGTTCTTTGAAAAGAAACAACAAAAAAAACCCCAACAAATAAACCCCTTCACACAAATTAGACTTCGATAGCTCTTCAAAACCCAAGTACTGAAAGAAAAAGATAATTCCTATGTCACAGACACTAAGGTCAAACAAGCACCTTTCTGTAGGAGCCTGTCATATCAAATTTCAGAAGCCCAGGGACACTTTCATGTATATCTACAAGTAATTTATATAAATAACTTAGTACAAATGAAAACAACTGTTTTGTATATTATAAACAACAGCTAGATAACATAACCAAACACATTTTCACATTTTTTTCTAGTAGAACTTTTTTTTCCTACTGAAAAACCCTAACCCTCACCTTTCTACACGGTACCCAATCCAAAAATAATGGGGTGAAAAACACATAGAAAAATGCTTGTAATTCCTTTCCTTTGAGCAAACTTCTTCAATGTGGATGTAAAATCTTACCTAGATGAAACACAACACTGTATTTAAATTAATGTATTAAAAAAAGGTGTATTGGAGGGAAGCTTTAGACTGATGTATCTTAGAGATGAGTGTTTTATGTGTACATTGGGAAATGTAACATAGCCAAGAAGAAAAGGTTTCAGAGGAATCTTAATGCACAGAAGGCAATAAAAAGTAGATCTAATGACATTCAGCTAAATTAATAGTTTAGTTTTTGCTATTACTGAAGTTGTATGATGTTACAATGAACAATTTACTACAAACGATCTTTTTTTCCCATAAAATTACCACGCAGCACCAAGAAAGCACTGAGATGTTTTTAGGGATGCTAAGTAATCTACAGTATGAGTGCAGAAGCTTGTTTTCAAATCTATTTTTATTAGTCATTACTTATATGCTCCAAAATCTCTGGGAACCTACGCAATCTTATGGCATACCCAGGAATACCTCTTCCAAGTAACAGAAATGCCCTTTGTTCTGTCCTCCTTTATTCTGAAAAAATCTTCATTCTTGCTTTCCATTTCCAAGATCAATTTTGTCACTTAGCATAGTTTAATCTTCCCAAAACAAAAGACTAGAGCACTGTAGCTGCTGGACTGCAATGGGAATCAGCGTAATGAAGGGAAATTCCACACTGACTTCACTGGATTTCAAGCTTTCCTTAAGGAAAATGAAAGGGAAAACAGAGCAACGGTTACGGCTAAAGTTGTCCCAGAACAGACTTTCCCCACACAATTTGAACTTACTGGAATAATTGTAGAAAAAAACAGTTTGGAGTACACCTGAGCTCTTTTTAGAGAGCACCTTAGCCACTGCGCTGCCGGATGAGGCGGGTCAATGCTGCTGCCATAAACCATGGAAGAGGTTTATGAGCCATGTTTGACACTAAAAGAGTATATGCATTTAAATTAATCTTGGATGCTCTAAATTGCAAAATTAAGCACCTATGTGGACACTCAGGCAACTTCTGTGTTCCCCAATTGTTCAAAATTTAGAAAAATTCAGTGGCAATATCCTTCTGCTCACCCACTTAACATGCCAATCTGAGCTCAGCATCTTGAGCTCTGACAGTTTTGAGTGACCAGGATAGCCCGATACACTGACTTTACACGGAGCAACTATTGGCAGATCTTAAGGCAAAACTATTAAGATTAAGATCACGTTAACCTTAAGCAAGTCAGGATTTGAAAGCAGATCTATCTAGGGAAAGACTCAGGAGTCCACCACAAAAGATGATTCCAAATTAGATGAAAGACAGAAAATCAAATCATGTTTGACTGTGGTTCAAATCAATATCCCATTTTCAGCTGTTAATTTCTTAGTAATTGTGTCTTATTTTCCTCCACATGTGTTCTATTGAAAATGCCAGCCACACTGGGGAACTGAAGAGGTGGAGAAGACTTTTGCCCTATTAACATGCAGATTTTATGACAAAGGCCAAGTCCTACTCCCTTAGGACTTATTTTGCAATGACATTTTAAGATGACTTCTTTTCCCATTATGGCAGATCAGAAACAAGAATTAAGAACAGCAGGCATTCGCTTTACTGCAAACCCTAACTTCACACACAGAACTTTATAGGTTATAAGATCCAAAAATAAAGTGTATCATTCAAACTTAGCAGAGGCATGCTGTAGCTTATTTAGAATAATCTCACTGACGGGAGAAGTTGATTATTGAGGAGGCAAGCCACAGTTGCACATCATACACACCAGGTGAACAACAGTTCACCAACCAAGTGCCATGTCTTAGCGAATAAATTCTACTTCATTTTAAATACATAAGCTTCTCATCTATATAGCCATAAAAACTTCAATAGGGACTATTTACTTATAGTTTTTATGCAAGCATAGTCATGTAAAGAGTCTCAGGTGCAGATTTACCATGGGAGGAAGGGAGCTGCTGTAGTTTTCCCAGCCAGATTGCTTGTGCAATGGCACAAGGGAGATGAAGTTGTAATGTGGACGCACGGGTACACATTCAAGCATGCTCTTTTATTACTGTTAAGAAATTATGACTTCCAACAATTAGAC